GCTGAAGAATCACTGAGTCACTGCTGAGTCACTGCTGAGTCCTGGGGTCTGTCTTAGTGACAAACAGATTTATTGTCTGCTATATTGTTGTTTGTGTTTTTGTGGATGACTGAAATCATGTTTCATTAAAAAATGAAATTCGGTCTTGAATAAGCATGTAAATAAAATGGAGAATGGGTTGTGTCTTCAGTATCAGAGTAAATACTGGACAGTAAATTGAAATGTGAATTCCCACAGTTAAATGTAGTTTTTTAAATAAAGGCAAATGATCAGCAGCCCAGAGATTAACTTCACATAGGTCATGAGCAAAACAGGCCCCGACTGACCAGGTTCATACACACTGCCTTACTGTACTGCTGGAAAACCTGCACATACATATTGATGTATAAACTTTAAAACAGTAAAACCTTGGCAGTTTTAACGCAATTTTTTGATATTCATTAAACTGTAGTGACTTTAACTGTGAGTTTACTGAGTCACTGTTTTTTATTTTCAAAAATGAACATTGCTCCCATGTGATACACAGCAAAAACATGAAATAAACACCCAAACAATATCCAACACCTCTTTTTAAAATATGTTGATATATATCGAGGTGGGAGTAGGTGCGGTTTTTTTTCTAATGGCGATAAATACTTTTTACTCAGAAAACTTATTGTTGCACTTGTTTTCTGTACTTTTTTTTTTATTTTTTTTTTATACAAATTTAGATGTTCAATATGATTTTTGCAAACAGGAAGTTATATCAGACATTCGTACACTGCAAGGCAACCTGAAACAATAAGACGGGGCAGAAAACCGATCGTTTTTTTGTGATTTCCTGCCTCTTTGGAGCTAAAAGAGGCCATCCATGAGATACGTCATGCAATACACGAGATGTTTAGTACATCAGGACTTTGTAGGGTAGCTCAAATGAGTAAAAAAATATAGACCATAAACAAATGTCCATTATAGAGGCAATAAATGAATAGGCTGGTTCTCTGGAGTATATAACTCTAATAAACTAAGCTTTTAAATACACGTATTAACGTATTTTAACAGCCTCGTATTTGCCGTTTACCTTTTGCTGTCTGCATTCCAGCACTCGTTCCTTTGCTTCTTCTGGGTTTACGAGGAGTCCGTGAACGTGGCACATGTCTGATTGGGAAAGCAGTGGGAGGAGTTTTAGAGTAAGGTGTACAAAATGTTCAACGGGATTGAATCTGAGTTTAGACTGTGTGAATGCTTGTAAACAAGTTATTTAAGAGCAGTAACAAATACGACAACCGGGACATGTTTTTGAGGTCTTCGACTTAATTTTTAGGCTAACCGCCCGGGAATTAAAAGAGTAAACCAGCCCACGGATGTCCTGTTAGCTTCCCAGCAGAATGGAACCGGCTCCGGGATAAAGTGAATCATGTTTTGCGGTATTTTCTTGCCACTTTTCGTGGTGCTGCCGTGTGGCTGGCAGCTCACCTCGGGCTCAGAGCTTTTACGAAACGAGTCTGGTGTCCGGGTTGGAATGGCTGGACGTTGGTCCTCACCGGTGATGGCTGAAAACAACAACAACGATGAGGTCAGTGAAATGTTTTTCTTTGCTTTTGCTTGGAAATGAACGTGTTATGTGTGAGTGCTGTATATTATTAACAGGTGTTCGTCAGCTGCTTGTTTTCTGGTTCAGGTCAGCAAGGTTTTTTTTGGTTAGTTTTTTTTTTTCACCTGTCACATGATTAGCGAAAGCTAAGGGCGTAAGTCAAGTTTGATCGGCTTGGTTCACAACCGTCAGTAAACTATAGACCCTCAGTGCAAAGCTGAAAAGAGCACTGACTGTGTGTAGAAGGACCTCTGCATGGGTGGGTGGTGTGCTTTCGCTTGTTTTGCAGTGGATGAAAAACATACACAAAATTTGATCTGACATCTCATTCTGATTAAGGAATGTAGGTGTCTGATTTAAATCAAGTAAATCGAGCCTTCATGCCAAGCATAATACACACTGCAGTTTACCACTCCTCATCAAGACAGGTTTAGCTCAGGTAAAGCATCCCATACTCAGGACTCCCATCGGTCCACTGTTTTTGTGAAAATACGAAATACTCAGGGCCATCAGCTGTCACAAGCGGAAATGGTTAAGTCGGGATCTGAATTGAGTGAGCCTCATCCTCTGTTTGCTTTTTAAAAACTATATTATTTCACTCAATTCTTGACCCCCTTCGTCATTTTATTTGTTACAGTTTAGCAGTTTCACTCGTCACAAGCAGTTACGCTGAAAAGGTATGACATATATGTTGCCTTAAGGAAACTTGTATGGCAAGTCTTGTATGGCAAGTCATTTTCCAGTAAAGGTGAATTCAGGTGTCTGTTTATTGCTAAGGTTGTAGTGGCTGGCGTTGTACTAGACTGAATTTTAACGAAATGTGCAAATAATCATCTGGACAATATCAGTTTATCACAATTTATCTCTGTAAAGGTGATGAGTAGAATTGGATTGTATCAAAGTTACACCTGTTAGAGGTGTGTGTGTGTGTGTGTGTGTGTGTGTGTGTGTGT